GAGAGAGAGAGAGAGAGAGAGAGAGAGAGAGAGAGAGAGAGAAAGAGAGAGAGAGAGACCTGTAGCATGCAACTTGTCAGTGGCGGGGAGCAAGAGGGCAGGCGCTGACCTCCAACAAAAAGTAATTTTATCGAAATACAAGAGTTTTTCTTTTTGAAATCCGAATAGAAAGGGTACAGGTTGTATTTGAATACAACCTGTACATTTTCTATTCGAGGAAACTGTGGTATTTGAGAAAAGTGCACCCGCACCGTTTGAATTTCGAAAAAGGCTTAAGGACCGCGACCTCCTCTGCCTCCTCCGCGCAGCTACCGGTCCTACGCGGTCCTGGCCCTTGCAAGGCCCCAAAAACTCAAAATGCCCACCCTCCCGACGACCACCGACGTTGAAATTTTGATTGACGTTGAAATGTCTCAGGGGGGAAAACGCAACCCTGACGGGCTGCGAACTAACCTCGTTTTTCTGGCGTAGAATACTATTCGCATTTGCCTCCTCGCCTACAACGAGTCTCACGGCTACTCTCCTCACCTACAGCGAGTCTGACGGCTACTCCGAGGTTGTTTATGGCCCTCGCTCCGCAATTGGACAGTGGACATGCACAAATGACAAATAGCATGGCGGTGTATCTTTCCATGTTCTAGCTAAAGATTCAGTCATTTCCCACAAGCGGAGAATGCCCTTGCGTACACCCAAGAGTACCAGGCAACCGACCTCGGGGAAGAACGCGAATGGCGGGATACATTAAGGATAGTGCTACTGTGAGTGTGCCCTCAGTTGGTACATCCACAGGAGGTCTGTCCAATAAAGGGCCTCGCTCCACTACTATCGAATGTGCAAAACGAGAGTGAATCTTCTGCTAGAACACGGAAAGATACACCGCCATAATTTTTTGTCTTTTGTGCGTGTCGAGAGCAGTGGAGCGATGCCCAACTGCACACAAAGGGCCTCGCCCCACTACCGTGGATGTGCAAAAAGGCGAAATCGTGGTCGACTTTGAAAAAATAAAATAACAAAAATTGTGGAGGTGTATCTGTCCATGTTCTGCACTATATGCACGATGGTTTTGCACAGAGAGGAGAGTAGCCGACCTAGACCCAGGCGGCAAACGCACATGCTGAATCGCGTTCGTTTCCCATCTTCGACTGTCACACAGACTAGTAAACTATACTATTCGCTGGCATGTGGGCCGAGGCCCCCGGTGTGGCCAACCCCACCGCGTCTGCTCCCCTTTCCCGCCTCGGGAGCTGCTGCCACCGTCTCTCACTCCTCTGCTTTTTCACACTGCCACCGTCTCTCACTCCTCTGCTTTTTCACAGGCGCCACGGTCACATTACGGGCTGTGAGCCCGTGCCTGCGTGGTATGTCAGTTAGTGCTGGGATGACTAAGGCTTTGATTTGTCAAGATTCAAGCGTAGTGCAGCCAGGCCTAATAACTTGCGGTGCGAGCCATAACACTGCTTACAGTAGGCTCGACATCAACAAAGGAAATCCCCTGACCCTGGCTACGCGACCACGCTTGGCATGGTCTAACACTGTACATTCATCACCAGGGTGCTTGGGTGGGGGAACTTGACTCCCGTAAACCGTCGATACTTCCCGCGTGTCATGTCAACCATGGGGGAAGGAACCAAGGTGGGCGACGAGCTCAGGACCAATATCGGAATGGAGGGATGGCCTGACTCGTGAATCAATTTGCAACAATCGCCGAACAGACCGGGCGTGTGGGACTCGGCGGGGCAAGCTTTCTTGCGCGAGGCCGACGCGGTCATTCTGAACGGACTCCCCGGTCCCACGAATTGGTCCAAAAGAGGGTCCAGGGTCAGGTCCGAGCGGGGGCCGCGATGGCGATAGTAAGACTATGTGCAGTAACGCAGGCTGAGCGATAGTGGTATGGAAGGTCGAGACGCGACCGGGCAGGGATGCTCTCGATGGAAGGTGGGCGGGTAGCAGCCAGCTGGGCGACCTTGCCCGTGGGTGACGACGGCTTCTGCGAATCAGGTTAGATCCAATCTATACAGACAACGGGGTGTCATCGTACCTTACCGTACGACTGGCGCGACTATCTGGCGAGGTCCAGGCTGCCGTATGAGCAGACAAGAGAGGGGGAGGGAGGGGAAGAGCGCGGCGAGCGGGAGCACGAGACCCGATCTTCGGGCGCGAGCCCACTCGAAGCTGGCAGGCCAATCGAGGCGGGCCATCTGGACCTGGTGCGATTTTGATTCCGAACCATTCCGCCGTGTGAACATGGCCGCAGGGACCCACCCAGCGACCGGAAAACGGAGGTGTTGGGCGACCGGACTGCCTAGGGGAGGAAAACAGAGCTGAGCTTGGAAAGGAATACTGGAAGTGGAGGAACGACTACGGGACGAAGCTGGCGAGCGGGCGAAGCAGGGCGGGCAAGACGAAAGAGACAGGAGGGCGGAGCAGCTGATCGACAGGAAGGAACGGCCTTACGCTGCTCTACGACCGGAAGGAACGGCTTTACGCTGCTCTACGACCGGACGGAATGGCCTTGCGCTGCTGAGCGACCGGAAGGAATGACCTTGCTACCTACCGGTAGCTGTCGAGTCGGTGGGAGACCGACCAATCGTCACGGTGATGGTCCACGTCGCCTTCAGCTCTGAGGATCGCGTGCGCTCACCGGCACGCGCGCGCACGCGCGCGGGCAGTCTTGCCTCCCATCCAGTCGCATGCAGTGAGGGAGACTGGCAGGGAAAGTCCGACGGCGGGAGGAACAGGGGGGAGAAGAGGCGTAGAAAGAGAGCGCCTGTTTAGCGCGCGATTGCCTGATAGTAACGCGCCTCATGTCGGGCAAAGAGAAGGAGGAAGAGGCGAAAGAGATTTACGGAACGAGAAAGAACTGGTGTGGGGAACGATGGTGAGGGAGAAGCGGCGTGGATATGGTGTTTTGGGATGTGATTGAATACGCCGATCGTGATACGTGGAAATAGATGAGCTTGTAGCAAACGACACAGGGGATGCGGTACTGAAGGGGAGTAAGCTGAGAAAGCGGAAGAAAAGTGGAGTGAGGTTGGATTCGTTGTGGTGGAGGGGGCAGGAAGGGAAGGAGAGGGCGGGAGGAAGGGAGGGAGAGGGGGGGAGAGGCAGGTGTGTAGCCGTGAGGGAGCGGCGTGTGCGCTTCCTTGGGGGGAAAAAAGACAAGCGGGACGTAAGTAAGAGAAGAGGAGACGGGAAAAGCATTCTATCAGGGTAGGAGTGGAGGGCGCGAGAGGGAGGAGGAGGAGGGGAAGGAGAACGTGGTGGGCGGGAGATCGAGAATCGGAAATAACGATGGCGACTTCAACGGTGCGGAAGCGGGAACGGGAAAATCCGTGCTTTATTTGCGGACATTACCACAAGCACGAGTTGGGAGAGGTATGCGGTATATGTGGACATAGACCTATAGAGGCGGCAGAGAAAGGGCCTCCTCAGAGTGCTTTTTCGACCGAGATTCTGCCAGGATTTCTTTACTTAGGCAGTTATGACAATGCATCCAGGTCGGAGCTGCTGAAGGCACAGGGGATCACTCGAATACTCAATGTACGCCAACATCCCCAACCACTCCGTCTTTGTCCCCTGTCTCCCGACCTACTTTTCTCCTGTTTCTATCCCTGTTCTTGTTCTCTTGCCTGTCTATAGGCCCTTCTTCCTGTTTGGAAACCTGAACTGCAATCAATTCATTCTCAGCGTTCATTGCTGGTATGCAAAGTACTCAAGATGATCAAAACAAGAGACTTATGTTGGCAACCCGTTAACTGGTGTGTGTGTGTGTGTGTGTGTGTGTGTGTGTGTGTGTGTGTGTGTGTGTGTGTGTGTGTGTG